TTGGATCTTCATTAGACCTTTGGTCCTTGACTTATTTATATTTTTATTTATATCCTGCCTTTTAAAAAATATATATGTATATATATAATATAATATATTTATATGCCGCCTTTCTCCCCAATGGGGATCAAAAGTGGCTTCCATCGTTCTCCTTTCCTCCATTTTAACCTCAAAACAACCTGTGAGGTAAGTCAGGCTGAGAACATGTGACTGGCCGAAGGCCACCCAGCGTGCTTCCATGGAACAAGTGGGGATTCGAACCTGGAGCCTCCCAGTTCCTAGTCTGACACTTTAACCACTACACCATTCTGGCTGTCCTTGACGAGTTGACTTCTTCAGCCAAGGGTATTGCTTCAGTTTGCTGATATTGTTCTGGATCCTACCCCCGGTCCCACCACTCCACCGAATAAAATTTGAAGTCGTGTTCCAACCTCAGTGGCTCTTCCTCCAACACAGGACCCACCCATTGAAGTTGCAGGAAGGCTCCAGAGACTGAAGGAAGGATCTTTGGAGGAAGCTTGAGTCTATTGGCTCCTCAAAGCAATGTTTTTGCCTTCCCGTACATCGTCAGCACAAATCCGTGCCTGCGTGTATCGTCTCCCTCAATTACTTTTCAGCTGAGCAAACTGCATCCTCTTTCACAGTTTGTCAATGCTTGTTGTATTCATAATGGAGTCCCAGAATGAGCCTCTGCACCCTCTTGTAGAAAGAGCTTGCTAGGGTCTTTTTTGGTTTTGTTTGGCATTGACTGGCATTTCAGGAGGACAGTAGAGTTCACGGCTGCCGATTATAATAGGAATGAAAAATGACTTCATCATGCAGGCATTGAAAGAGGAAGGTTTGGCACGGAGAACAGACAGTTCTGATTAGCAACTGTCATGTCAGACAGAGTGCAGAAGAAGCTGAAAACGCACGCTTGGGAAGAGTAATCATGGCTCTTTTTGTAGAAAAAGCCCAGCAGGAACTCATTAGCATAATAGGCCACTCCCAACAGCAGAAACCCATTAGCATATTAGGCCACACCCCTGACAGCACAGCTCATTAGCACATTAGGCCACACCCCCATGTTACCAGAAGTGTGGTTATCCAGCCACACCCACCTTTTGCTTGCTATTCTGTTTACCTTGTTTGTTGTCAAAACCCAGGGCCTTTTTTTGTAGCAGGAACGCCTTTGCATGTTAGGCCACACACCCCTAATGTAGCCAATCCTAATGAGTTTCTGCTGTTGGGTGTGGCCTATTATGCTAATGCGTTCCTGCTGGGCGTGGCCAACTTGGAAGCCAGCCGGAACTCCGTTCCTCTGCGTTCCTGCTCAAAAATAGCCCTGGTTGAGATGCAGGCCCAGTCTGCAACTAGCCATTTGCGCTGCTGTTTTATCAAACCCACGCTGGAACAGAAATCCCACTCGACATTGTATGCCACTTTCACTTTGATCGATTGTCGGATTTTATGGTAGCGCCCAGACTGCGTGCCGCTTTCACTTTGTTTGGTCTCCCGACTTTATGGAAGCCTCTGCATAGATTGATGTCCGCTTCATGGCCATTCAGGGGCGACTCTGCAGTCAGTACTGTGTTGGCCCGGGGATATTTGAATGTGGTTTTGAGCCGCATCTTTTTCTGTCCCAGTGTGGGTTTGGAGCAAATGCTAGATGCAGATTGGGCCAGAGTGCCAGAGATGCGGTTCCAGATCCGCATTCCCAAATTCTTTTCGGACTGCTGGTTGGCATCGTTATTTTATTTTATTGCCTAACACTTGCAAATTTATGTGGACCTTTGATCGGTCCTGGGCTGCCACCCATTTCCCTCTCCTGCCTGTCCTCATATATCACAGGCAATGTTTCGTCTTCTCTGGGGCTTGGCTCTGACAAACAGCTTCGTTGTAGCATGAAGGAGCCACCCTGGTCCTTTGCCAGGGCGGTAGATTCTCCCTCCTTTTTAATATACACAAATCCTGGGTTCAGAGCAGGGATTCCCAGCTTCGTTGAGCCTTCAGGTGCTTTGAAATGTTGAGGTGGTAAAGTGAGAGTGCCGCCAAAGCACGGCTGCTATGTGGGGCAGACTTGGCTCCCCTTTTTTGGGTGTGTGTGTGTGTGTTTTGTGTGTATGTATGTGTGTGTGTGTGTGTGTGTGTGTGTGTGTGTGTGTGCGTGCAGGGCTATTTTTGGGCAGGAACGCACAGGAACCAGGGGTCATTTCGTAGAAAAAGAGCTAGGGGAACTCATTAGCATAACTCATTAGCATATGCCACACCCCCTGACATCAGGGGCCCGGCGGTGGACCTGCAAGGCCGGCGGGAGTGCGAGGAAGCCCCGCCAAGGCCCTCCCTGGCTCCAGGCAGGCAGGGGTGGGGAGAGGCGGGGAGGAAGCAACTTCTCCTGCCTCCTCCTGGCTGAATGAGGGCTGGAAGTGGGGCGGCCGGAAGCAGGGGGCGGGGCTTCGTCATGTGCCCTGCACCTCACCCGGGGGAACTGCGTTCCCCCGCGTTCCCCCCCCCCAAATGACCTCTGACAGGAACGGAGTTCCGGCTGGATCCCAAGTTGGCCACGCCCAGCAGGAACGCATTCGCATAATAGGCCACACCCAACCAGCGGCAACTCATTGGGATTGGCTACAATTAGGGGTGTGTGGCCTAACATGCAAAAAGCCCTGGGTTAAACAAGGTAAAGAGAATGAGAAGCAAAAGGTGGGTGTGGCTGGATGACCACACTTCTGGTAGCATGGGGGTGTGGCCTAATATGCGAATGAGCTGTGCTGTCAGGGGTATGGCCTAATATGCTAATGAGTTCCTGCTGTTGGGTATGTCCTATTATGCTAATGAGTTTCTGCTGGGCTTTTTATTAAAAAAAAAAGCCCTGTGTGCATGTATGCCTGGAAGCCATAGATGACGTCTGGCGACCCCTAGTGGGGCTTGGCTGTTCAGAGAGGTGGCTTGCTATTGCCTGCCTCTGTTTCCCGGCCCTGGTATTCCTTGGAGGTCTCCCATCCAAGTACTTGCCCAGGGTCGGCCCTGCTTAGCTTCCGAGATCTGATGAGATCAGGCTTGCCTGGCTATCCAGGGCAGGGCAGGCTTGGCTCCCTTGACTTGGGGGAAGAGATGGTGTTCAGTTTCAGTTTTCAAACAAAAGGGGTGACCACAGGACGAGGTTTCCAAGCGTAAGATGTAAGAGAGTCTGGATCAGTGTTCCCTCTAAGATGAGTTAGTGCGAGCTAGCTCACAATTTTTTAGCCTCCGGCTCACACATTTTTGTCTTAGCTCAGGAAGGACGGCTCCGGAGCAAACGAATTCATGCGGTAGCCAAATGGCTCGCTCACAACTTTAATGCCAGTAGCTCACAGAGCAGAATTTTTGCTTACAAGACTCCACAGCTTAGAGGGAGCATTGGTCTGGATCTGTGGCCAAGCTTTGGGTGCTAGTCAATTGACAGGGAGGGAGAAGCTCAAACTCCCTATTCTCTTCCCCACACACACACACTCCCAAGATCTTTTGGACTTTATCTCTGAGACCAGCTGGGGGAATAATTGATCTAATCTCTGCTTCTTTCTTTATGAACTAGCTGTGTATCTACAGTTATGGCCGCATGGTTCTTGGGAAGTTCAAAACGTAATGACAATGATACTATTTACCAGGGCTTAATTTAAACCATTATCAGTTTGGTGTAGTGGTTAGGAGCACGGACTCTAATCTGGGAGAACCGGGTTTGATTCTCCACTCCTCCACATGCAGCTGCTGGTGTGACCTTTCAAAGCTGCTCTCTCAAGAGCAGTTCTCAGAGCTCTCTCAGCCCCACCTACCTCACAGGGTGTCTGTTGTGGAGTGGGGAAGGAGATTATAAACTGCTCCCAGACTCTTTTGGGTAGTGGAGGGCGGGGTATAAATCCAATCTCTTCTCTTCTTTTTCTTCTCTGTGTGAGTCTCGCATCAGATATGTAGACTTTCTTGAAGTGAGCAACAGTGGTTATGGCCAGTAAGCGTCCCCCTGTTTGCAACAACGTTTTGGTTGCAATGTCCACACTTATGGGAATTGTTGCCGCACACATCCAGGGTTGTGTAGTTGCTGTGCTAATGTTTGTCCATGGAGGGTGTACCCTTGGGAATGGTTCCATGTGCTTGCGTGGTGATGAAAGAGGAGGAATATGGAGTTACAGATACTGGCCAACCATTCTTTTGTTAGCTGGATTACAGATTAATAGTCCACAATGGCCCTTTGATATTTCATCAGTGGGAGTTAAAGGTTGGAGTTTCTCCTGAAAGCTGAGGATTTTCAGTTTTTTTCTGAATGACCTAGCCATCAGAGTGTGGAGAAAGTTGCATCCATGTAGATAGGCAGAAGAGGGCATCATTAGTTAGTCCTTATCAGAGAAAAGGACGCACACATACATAGTTCCAGTTGGGTCTGCACAGAGCAAGATTTGAGTCACTACCACAAGAAGTGGCGGCTATAAGCACAGACAGCTTCAAGAGGGGATTGGATATACACATGGTGCAGCGGTCCATCAGTGGCTATTAGAATGTAGAGATGGAAGACTATGTCTGGGGCAGTGAGGCTCTGTCTTCTTGGTGCTTGGGGGGCAACAGTGGGAGGGCTTCTGGAGTTCTGGCCCTGCTGATGCACCTCCTGATGGTATTTGGCATTGTGTGACACAGAAAGTTGTACTGGATGGGCCATTGGCCTGATCCAACATGGTTCTCTTATGTTCTTATGTTCTTGAGTCCAGTAGCATCATAAATACAAACAGGATTTCCAGCGTATCAGCTTTTGAGAGTCTTAAAAAGGACCTTTGACTCTTGAAAGCTTACAACTGGAAATCTTCTTGACTTTTAGGAGCTATTGGACTGGAATCTTGCTCTCACACATACATGATAATCTCAGGATCTCTAGCTAACTTGGGGGGAAAGCACTAGCAAGCGCTGAAGTATGGGACCATAGTTGCATTTTGCAGTGGGTTTACATGGGTTGTGATATTGGTATTAGGGTCTCAAGTTCTGGGCAAGGGAAAAAGAAGATGCAATTTGCCCTGCGAAACCATGGATCACAATTTTAGGACATTTTCTCCCCCCAGGTGCTTGCCAATGCATCCATCTTCCTTTGCGGTAACCTAATGGGGGCATTTCACAAGCATCAGATACAAGACGCTTCTCTGGATTTGTACAGGTACACTTTAAAATGCATCCAAGTCCAGATGAAGCTGAAGATTGAAAAGAGGCAGCAGGTGAGTGCATTAGGCTTTTCTTAAAATAACATTGTGCTTTATTCTAATGCGGTGTTTCCGTTGTAATCACAAAGCAAGAGGGCTGTGATTTGTGCTTGATTCCGTTTACCCAGAGCGACTGATGCAGGAAACGTTCTCTTATCAGCGTGTTTTTCAAATCAGAGCACCGCAGGTTGCCTTTGGGCAGGGAAATTAGTTTGAAAGGAGAGTTGCAGGGACTACCTTCTGTGTCTTCCTCTTCTCTCTTAAGGAATGGGTGTCTTTGGATCTAGTCCAAAAAATGATCCAAAAAACCCGGAAACCTGTATGCATACTGCGCTTACAAAAATAGTTTAAGTAATTAAAGCGACAGTGTAATAATCCAGAGTCCGAAAATACACACGATTAACATTTCACAAGGTAAGTACAAAAATAAGTAAATTGGTGAGATGTTAACGATGATCTCCGGAATGTTCAACCGTTTCGATACTAATCTTCTTCCGAACACAAATGGAGAGTATGCAGTATCTCTAGTTAGTGTCTCAACTGGTACATATCAATAAGTCTCACTGAAGTGTCATGACATCATTGTATAAGATTCCAAATTATTCTTAGAAGGGGAAAATGCTGTAATCTTATGCTGTTACTTTAATTACTTAAACTATTTTTGTAAGTGCAGTACACATACAGGTTTCGGGGGTTTTCGGATCATTTTTTGGACTTGCTTTAATACTGTTATTATCATCGCAACACATGTCTTTGGATCTAATCAGAAGTGATTAAAATGCAGAATTCACTGCCAGAGGGTGTAATGATGGCCACAGGAATAAATAGCTTTAAAAGGGGATTCGATAGAATCATGGAGGATAAGCCTGTCAGTACTACTACGAAGACGGGGACGGCAAAGGATGAGATGGTTAGACAGTGTCATCGATGCAACGAACATGAAATTGAGCCAACTTCAGAGGACGGCGGAAGACAGGAGGGCCTGGCGGGAGATGATCCATGGGGTCGCGAAGAGTCGGACTCGACTGTGCGACTGAACAACAACAACAACAACAAGCTACTAGCCATGGTGACTGAGGGGAACCTCCATGTTCAGATGCAGTCAACCTCTGAATCCCAGAGCCATGTAGCTAATCCTCCAAGAGCTTACAGTAGCCCCTGTAAGAAGAGCTCTGTAAACTCTTGGAGGATTGGCCACATTAGGGGTGTGTCGCCTAATATGCAAAGGAGTTCCTGCTACAAAAAAGAGCCCTGGGAGGAGAATGTCGACTTTATTACTTTATGGTGATGGATTATTTGAGAAAGCAAGCATCTGTTAAGGTGCCAAGGGAGGAGGTCCCACTCTAATCACAGACACTCCCTCTTTCTTTGTTAACGACAAATCAGCGGACATCAAAGGAATTTGGGCGCTTGTGGGGGTTTTTTTTTTTTTTTTTTTGGAATTTCCGCATGTCACAGACACAACAGGGAAAGGTCTTGCAAGCATTGTGTTGGAAGGGGTGGTAGAAAGGATGGATTGTTGATATCTAAGATTTGTGGCTAATGCTATGGTGAGAGTGCCAGGGGCGTTGCAAGCCATTGTTCGAGAACAGGGGTCCCCAACCTTTTTGAGCCTGTGGGCACCTTTGAAATTCTTACACAGTGTGGTGGATGGTGCTCCCTCTAAGCTGAGTTAGTGTGAGCTAGCTCACAGATTTTTTTAGCCTCCGGTTCACACATTATGCAGTAGCCAAATCGCTTGCCCACAACTTTAATGCCAGTAGCTTGCAGAGCAATTATGCAGTAGCCAAATCGCTTGCCCACAACTTTAATGCCAGTAGCTTGCAGAGCAGAATTTTTGCTCACGAGACTCCACAGCTTAGAGGGAGCATTGGTGGTGGGTACATACAATGGCTGCACAGACGCCTGCCCCGAGAGGCAGAGCCTGCCATTCTGCTGCAGCTTCCCTTCAGTCACACATCCTTGAGCTTTGGTGGCGGCTGCTGCTGAAATGACATTTTTGAAAAAACCGCACAGCCCATCAGATCTCCAACGGCCAATCAGAAGCGTTGCAAGGGCAAAGCCCCACCCACTTTAAAACACTTGGCGGGAACCAGGAAAGGTGTCTACACTGGGGGAAAGAAATCCCTCGGGGGTTCTTTGCGCATTGCTGCCCCCGCAACCAGAAGCTTGTTTTGGCGGATGATGCAGACGTCCGGTGAAGGCTGGCTATCGATTTTGTTGCATAGCGCTCCAAATAAAATCACAGAAGGCATCATTTCTTCTCTCTGGCTTTTATGCAGAGTAATGAGAGGTAGCCAAGACAGCAGAACTTTGTATGAGTTCTCTCTACCAGGGTAAACAAACTGAAAATGGAAAAGGGAGTGGTCAGCAGTGTTCCCTCTAAGCTGAGTTGGTGTGAGCCAGCTCACAGTTTTTTAGCCTTCAGCTCACACATTTTTTGTCTTAGCTCAGGAAGGATGGCTCCAGAGCAAACTAATCTATGCAGTAACCAAAGTGCTCGCTTACAACTTTAATGACAGTAGCTCACAATGTAGAATTTTTGCTCACAAGACTCCACAGCTTAGAGGGAACATTGGTGGTCAGTGCAGAAAAGGTAGCGCCAAAGGGGAGGGGCCAAATGCAAGGGGTGTGGCTAGTAGAGAAACAAGGGGGAAAGAGCTCCTGGTTATAATCAGAGCCTGCCAAAACCTGGAATGGATCCCGGGCAACGCTCCCTCTAAGCTATGGAGTCCTGTGAACAAAAATTCTACTTTGTGAGCTACTGGCATTAAATTTGTGAGCAGGTGATTTAGCTACTGCATCAATTAGTTTGCTCTGGAGCCCTCCTTCTGGAGCTAAGACAAAAATGTGTGAGTTGGAAGCTGAGAAAATTGTGAGCTAGCTCACAATAACTCATCTTAGAGGGAACACTGATCCCGGGTGGCACTTGAAAGAAGCACAGGAGTGCTGGAGACTACATAAGTGAAGCAAATTCCGGTGGGCAAATGTGAGAAAATGATGGGCAGTATTTTAGGCTGAAGCAACAGAAATGTTATTCCCACATATGAAGTGATTTCTTCAAAGACGTCCTTCCTTCCTTCCTTCCTTTCTTAGGAAAGTTTGCTTTTATCAATACTGCCAGCTCATATCTCTATGGGAATGAAACTAGCCATCATAGAACGCCTAAAAGAAACCAACGACAGGAAGAAGCACGACAACAACTTCCACAGCCTGTATGTGAAGCGCCATCAGAATGTGAGGTGAGAGGTCTAAGGGTATGCGGTCACTGTAGTGGTTTGTCACAGAAGTGGGGCCCAGAAGGAATTGTGCAGAAGGGAGAATCGCTTCTTCTCCACCACTTCTTCAGTACAGATTCTCTCCCATCCAGGGCCGGCTCACTCACTAGGCGAACTAGGCGATCGCCTAGAGCGGGCCGGCCCTTACGGGCGCCAAGCTGCACCCGGCCCCGTACTCTGGGAGTTTCTTGATTATTTGTGTTTTTCATTCTTCCTAAAATGCATTTATTTTTTAAAATTGATGGGTGCATGGGGGGGGGGGTGGCGGCGCCAGAAGGGATCCTCGCCTAGGGTGCAAAATAAGCTGGGGCCAGCCCTGCTCCCCCTTTCCGGGGTTAACCACGGCCCAGGTGTATCTCTCTCAAGCTCAGTGTTAACCATGGTTAGCTTTCAATCAGTGTTTGCAGCCATGACTATAAGTTGGTTTGCAAACCATGGCTTAAGTCTGTAACTGATGGAGAGGCAATGCTGACTGTAGTTTGACTTCTAAAAGAAAGGTGGGGATGAAGGAGGGAGATGAAGCGTGTTATCCTTAATGGGCCCTCCTTACCATGGTTAAGAGATCAGGAGACATAATATGTAAACTAAGCTGGTGAGGCAGTGGATGTTGGGGAGAATTTACACTGCATGATTTTTGTTAACTGGCTCACATGAACACATGAAACTGCTTTTATATGGAATCCATATAAGTCCATCAAAGTTAGTAGTGTCTTCTTAGAGCGGCAACGGCTCTCCAGGGTTTCAGGCTGAGGTCTTTTATATCACCTACTGCCGGATTCTTTAACTGGAGATGCCGGGGATTGAACTTGGGACCTTCTGCATGCCAAGCAGATGCTCTGCCACAGAACCACAGCCCCTCTCCCTGCATCTGAGCTCAGATTTGTATTAAACTGAGTTTTTGCTGAGCGGGAAGAACAGGTCAGGTCATTCAAATCCATTTGTCTGGATCACTTACTATAAAAACTGAAAGACTGGGGGGGGGGGGGGGCTAGGGGGGGGGGGATGACTTTAGTAGGTGGGGAGGAGAAGGGAAGAGGTTTCAGGGGCCATGAGGAATTTTTAGAAAGGTTTAAAGGTCCACGCCGCTCTAGCAGAAAAGGGAAGCTGATTAAAGATGTGACTGAATATTATGTCCTTGGCCAGCATCCTGTATGCGGACATCGTGGGATTCACTCGCCTGGCAAGCGATTGCTCTCCCAAAGAACTGGTGGTGATGCTGAACGAGCTCTTTGGAAAATTTGATCAAATTGCAAAGGTAGGCGAGCTATTTTTGGTCATTTTATTGGACAAAGATGTTTTGTCATCAAGTGTTTTCAGAATTTAATTATTCCTATATAAACTGAACTGTGTCGCACTGGACGGGTCGTCGGTGACGGACGCTGTTGCCCCTTACTTGAGGGTTGTTTTTTTTAAAACGGAGGTCAACATTTAAATTACAGAAATAACTTACAGAAAATCCACAACAGTTAATAAAAAGAAAGCTCGCCCTGACCTGGATAGCCCAGGCAAGCCCGATCTTGTCAGATCTCAGAAGGCCGACCCTGGCAAGTATTTGGATGGGAGACCTCCAAAGAATACCAGGGCTGCGAGGAAGAGGCAGGCTACCAAGCCACTTCTCTGAACAACATTATTTTTAAAATGTTTAAAAGTTCATGAGTTCTCAGCATACAGACTGAAACTTCATTTCCCTCTTGAGAGTTCCGGCACCTCTTTTTTAAAAAAAAAAAGCAAAAAAAAAAAAAAAAAAAAAAAAGCTCAAACGATCTTGTGTTACAACCGGGAAAGGAATACCATTGAGTTAATTATTCATAATGGTTTCAGAGGTTAGCCATGTTGGTCTGCAGTAGAACCAGGGGTCATTTCCTGCAGGAGCGCACAGGAGCGGAGCTCCGGTAGTAAAGAGCCCTGGGGGCGGGCACATGCAACAAGCCCCACCCCCTGCTCCCAGCAGCCCTCAGTCAGAACAAGAAGCAGCCAGGTAAGTTGCAGAGAGGACAGATCTGCGCGTCCCCCCCCCAATAGCTAGCAATCCAAAACAGTCCAGTGGAGCCTGAGTGGTGGGTGTTGCCTTCTGACACACTTCCGGTGATGTCAGGGGGTGTGGCATATGTAAATAAGTTATGCTAATGAGCTCCTGCACCTCTTTTTCTACGAAATGATCCCTGAGTAGAACAGTTGGATTAAAGTCTGCCAGCCCCTTGAAGACCAGCAAGATTTTCAGAGTATAAGCTTTCGAGTCCTACTCATGTCTGACAAAGGAAGCGTTGACTCTCGAAACCTTATACCCTGACATTTTTTTTGGCCTCTAAGGGGCTAAAAAGGTAAAGGTCTCCCTTGCTCGAAAGTCAGTCGAATCCGACTCTAGGGTTGCGGTGCTCATCTCCGTTTCCAAGCCGAAGAACCAGCGCTGTCCGAAGACGTTTCCGTGGTCATGTGGCCGGCGTGACTAAATGCTGAGGCGCACAGAACACTGTTATTTTCCCACCGAAGCAGTGCCTGTTTATCTGCTTGCGATTTCTTGCTTTCGAACTGCTAGGTTGGCAGGAGCCGGGGCCAGAGACGGGATCTCAGTCCGTCACACGGCACTAGGGTCTCGAACTGCCGAACTACTAACCTTCCAGTCTGCAGCTCAGCGTCCTAACCCCTGAGCCACCAATAGAATCACTCTCATTTTCAAAATCAAAGAATTCCGAGTTCATGTGACTCTTTCAGTGCCTTGCGATCTTTGCAGTGATGCTAATGTTTGTAATTTGTATGTATCCTTTACTGTGTTTAACCAATCATGCTTTGATGGTCTAAAAGTGTTGATTTCCAGACCCTGACACCCCCCTGCCCTGCTGTTCGTTATAACTTAATAGTCTGAGATTCTCTTGGGAAAAGCGCCATATAGTTAAGCAAAACAAGTTCAATAGATTTCCTCCAATGCATTCCAGAAGTCACAGACATTGAACTAATTGTCAGGTCCCAAAAGGACTGTGGAAGGTCAGTAGTTCAGCAGTTCGAGACCCGGGTGTCGCATGATGGAGTGAGCTCCCATCTCTAGTTCCAGCTCCTGCCCACCTAGCTGTTCGAAAGCAAGAAATTGCAAGTAGATAAACAGGTACCACTTCGGTGGGAAGGTAACAGCGTTCCGTGCGCCTTGGTGTTTAGTCATGCCGGCCACATGACCACAGAAACGTCTTCGGACAGCGCTGGCTCTTCGGCTTTGAAACGGAGATGAGCACCGCAACCCTAGAGTCGGACTCGACTGGCTTTCGAGCAAGGGAACCTTTACCTTTACCTTAAAAGGACTCTGGTCTGTTACACGGCCACCACATTTGCAAAAAGTTAGCTTTTGGCTAAGCTGAATTTGTACTTGAGGTTGTCTCTAAGTGTGCTCTTCTGTTCATGGAAGAAGAGTTACAGTAATAGTAGTGTCTCCTCCTCCATAAGTGAAAGGGATCCAATCCAATTATCTTGTCCTTGTAAAAAGGGGGGGACACGTTATGTTATTTTTTAAAATCTCTCAAGCTTCAGTAAGATACTAAGATACCAATACTCTGAAAGAATATAATGTTAAGATTATGATTTTCTGGGCTGATTGTTTCAAAACTAAAATAAACGTCCATGTTTTTTTCCTCCAAAAGATGGTTCTAGAAGTCTTGTATTAAGCATGTAGGCTTCCATCCTTCGAATAAAAAAATTGGGTCTGTGTAGAGATCTAATCTTTCTGACTACCTCTATTTATGGCTGATTCTATTTCTGCTTTTTTCCAAATGTAAAAATTATAAGTACTAATGACGTGGGAATTAGGGCCTTTGAAGTATTTTGTCACTGAACTTTATCTCATTAGAGGCAAAGAAGCTACAAGAAAGTAACTTAATTAGGTCGTGATGGATGTGGTAGAATTGAATCATTAAATGTACTGAAACAGCATGGGCTAAAATAGCATCAATGCGTAATTAAGATGTTTAAAGTTCTGTCTCCTTAATATTTCTATTTTATATGTTGCCTGCACATTCTTTTTAAAAAAATTTTTTGCAGGAACTAGAAGAGGAGAGAGCTTTGCTAAACTTACAAGTTATGCTGCTGTGTTGCCCACTGGGGAATTGCTGAGACCACAAATGAATGAAATCTTGGGGTTATAGTGGATAAAGGTAAAGGTAAAGGTTCCCTTTCTCGAAAGCCAGTCGAGTCCGACTCTAGGGTTGCGGTGCTCATCTCCGTTTCCAAGCCGAAGAGCCAGCGCTGTCCGAAGACGTTTCCGTGGTCATGTGGCCGGCATGACTAAACGCCAAGGCGCACGGAATGCTGTTACCTTCCCACCGAAGTGGTACCTATTTATCTACTTGCAATTTCTTGCTTTCGAACTGCTAGGTTGGCAGGAGCTGGAAGTAGAGACGGGAGCTCACTCCGTCATGCAGCACACTCGGGTCTCGAACTGCTGAACTACTGACCTTCCACAGCCTGTGGTTCAGCTTCTTAACCACTTGAGCCACCGCAGCTCAAAGTGGATAGCTCAATGCAAATGTTGACCCAGCATGTGGCAGTGGTCAGAAAGCCAGACTCCATGCTTGAGATTATTAGGAAAAAGACTGAGAATTAAATGGCAATATTGTAATGCTCTTGCATAAACCCATGCTACACCCACATTTGGAATACTGTGTATTCTGGTTGCCGTATCTCAAAAAGGTTATTGCAGAGCTGGAAAAAGTAGGGAAGAGAGCAGTGAAGAGGAAAGGCTGAAGATTCTGGGATGTTTTAGTTTAGGGGGAAAAAAGATGGCTAAGGGGAAACATCGCAGAGGTTTGTAAAATTATGAATGAAGTGGAGGAAATGGAGAGCGGTCTTTTTCTCCCTCTCTCATAATCCTAGAACTTGGAGGTACCCAGTAAAATAAATAGGCAACTGGTACAGGAAAAACAAAAGGAAATACTTCAGTTTGACGTAGTGGTTAAGTCCGCGGACTCTGATCTGGGAGAACCGGGTTTGATTCCCCATTCCTCCACTTGCAGCTGCTGGATGACCTTGGGCAAGCCATAGTTCTGTCAGAGCTGTTGAAAGAGCAGTCCTTGAGAGAGCTCTCTCAGCCCCACCTGAGGGGGGGAGGGGAAGGGAAAGGAGTTTGTAAGCTGCTCTGAGACTCCAAGTGAAGGGCGGGGTATAAATCCAATTTCCTCCTCCTCCTCCTCCTCCTCTCAACAAATAATTAAATTGTGGTATTCACTGCCAGCGGAAGTAGTGAAGTCCAAAAGCATAGATGTCTTTCAACAAATTTAGGGAGGATAGGTCCATCAATGGCTACTGGCTGTGGTGTGTAAAGGAAACCTCCATATGCAGAGGCAGTAAACCTTCTAAAGCCTGTGCTAGAAAGCAACATCAGGGGAAGGCCATGGCCTCTGTGGAGCTGGTTGGCCACTGTGCGAAACAGGATGCTGGACTAGATGGATTGCTGCTCTGATCCAGCAAGGCTGCTCTTCTGTTCTAATAACTTACAACTGTTTTATGGGTTCTTTGACAAGATCCAGGTGCCTTCTTCTCACTCCACATTCCAAGGGAACCATTGAAGTTTTGCATAATCTTGTCTTTTTTTAATGAAGCTTGATTATCCTTGATAAGCTTCTTAGGAACCTGGGAGTTCCTTGGAAATCTGCTCTTTCAGGTGGAGTAACTGCAATGACAGATTGGGTTTGTTTTGCACACGGAAGCACAGCATTTCATGTTGCTTAAGACAGGTACTTGCTAATCCATATTTACGGTTTTTCCGATGACTCCCTTGTTTTGCAGGAAAATGAATGCATGAGGATAAAGATCCTTGGGGACTGTTATTATTGCGTCTCGGGCTTACCTGTGTCCTTGCCCGTACACGCCAAGAACTGCGTGAAGATGGGACTCGACATGTGTGAAGCTATAAAGTAGGTACTCAAAAAAACAGAATCTTGAAGCGCTGGAAACGATTTTGGGAAATGCGCATCTATTATTTATTTTCACTAGGCCGCCCTTCCCTAGAATAGGGCTCAGGGCTGCTTACAAGAGCATAAATATACAATCTCAATTTAAAACTAGATTAAAATAACCCAGTAAATACCAGTACATAAAACAACATCTTTGTGATAGCAGAAAACAGCCTATATAAGATGGTGGAAAGAATTCCAACTCCACACACTCCCTAGGGGAAGGGGTTATGGGCGATGGGGACTTATATAAGATGGTGGAAAGAATTCCGACTCCACACACTCCCTAGGGGGAGGGGTTATGGGCGATGGGGACTTATGTAAGAGTGCCAAATGACGCCCCGTCGCTGACCTCAACCAAAGGCCCCACGGAACATCTCTGCCTGGCACCCTGCGGGTGTCTTCCGGCAGAGTGTTCCACCAGGCGGGGGCCAGGGCTGAAAAGGCGCTGGCTCTGGTCGAGGACAGCCAGATTTCTCCCGGGCTGGGGACCACCAGGAGGTTCTTTTTTCCTGAGCGTAGCGCTCTTCCCGGGGCATACTGGGAGAGGCGGTCCCAGCTTAGAGGGTTAGAGCTTAGAGGGTTGTATCGGACAGTTCCATTCCACTACTGGAAGTACTTTTCTCCAGCGGTAGGCCCTTTCTACCAGGGGAAAGCATCACCACTGTTGGAATGGCGATCCAGTCAAGTATCAATGATTTGGTAGTGTACTGGTGGTGGAAAGTACCGTCGAGTTGCAGGTGATTTGCGTTGACCCCGTAAGGGTTTTCAAGGTAGGAGATGAACAGAGGTAGTTCAAATATCGTTCATCGTTGCCTGCTTCTGCATAGCCACCCTGGACTACCTTGGTGGTCTCCCATCCGGGTACTAACCAGGGCTGACCCTGCTTAGCTTCTAAGATCTGATGAGATCGGGCTAGCCTGGGCCATTGAGGCAAGAGACGAACAGAGGTACTTTCCTATTGCCTGGCCCTGCGTAACAGCTCTGGACTTCCTTGGTGGTCTCCCATCCAAGCAGGGGTCATTTCGTAGAAAAAGAGGTGCAGGAGCTCATTAGCATAACACATTAGCATAACGTTTTGCATATGCCACACCCCCTGACATGACTGGAAGTGTGTCAGAAGGCAACACCCACCGCTCAGGCTCCACTGGACTGTTTTGGATTGCTAGCTGGGGGGGGGGAACGTGCAGATCTGTCCTCACAGAGGAGGGAGAGCTTGTACCTGAATAAAACTTGGTCTTAAAGGTGCCACTGGACTGTTTTGGGCCGGGGGGGTGGGGCTCTGCAACTTACCTGGCTGCTTCTTGTTCTGACTGAGGGCTGCTGGGAGCAGGGGGTGGGGCTTGTTGCATGTGCCCGCCCCCTGGGCTCTTTATTGCCGGAGCTTCGCTCCTGTGCGCTCCTGCAGGAAATGACCCCTGCATCCAAGTACTAACCAGGACCAGCCCTGCTTAGCTACTGAGATCTGATGACATCGTGCCAGCCTAGGCCATCCAAGTCAGGGCGATGGTATATTTACGACGTGTAATTTGATGTGAATGGCCTTCTAATCTGTATTGTGCTGCTAGCCCAGCAGGGCTCTTCTTATGTTCTGATGGGACTTGTGTAATTACGATGCACAGTACTTGGAGAAGATAAGGACACAAGCGAGAACTGTGGGTGCAAGGATGGAAGCCCAGTGTCTTTTATAATTTCTGTCTCCTGATCTTTTGCGCAGGCAGGTGAGAGAAGCCACAGGGGTCGACATCAACATGAGAGTCGGCATTCATTCCGGGAACGTCCTTTGTGGTGTGATTGGGCTTCGGAAGTGGCAGTACGACGTTTGGTCTCACGACGTCTCCTTGGCTAATCGTATGGAGTCCGCAGGAGTTCCCGGGTAATGCTCTTCTGATGCTTTTCATTGGGTTGCCGCTGAGCTAATGAACCAAAACCGCACTGTTGTTTTTATGAGTAATAGAAATGGAGAAACTGGCAAGCTGTTGGCTAATTGTACTGTGCCAGTATATCACTACCCTTTTTCTTAGAATTGGTGAGCCGTCAGGAATGTGGTGAACCAATGGACTGGAATTCCTGCGCTCAACAACCAACATGGGTGTATTTGACACCAATGCTCCCTCTAAGCTGTGGAGTCTTGTGAGCAAAAATCCTACTTTGTGAGCTACTGGCATTAAAACTGTGAGCGAGAGATTTGGTTACTGCATAAATCAGTTTGCTCTGGAGCCATCCTTCCTGGGCGAAGACTAAAATGTGTGAGCCAGAGGCTAAAAAACTGTGAGCTAGCTCACGCTAACTCAGCTCAGAGGGAACACTGATACATGTCTTCCAGAGATCAATGGGATTTCATAGCAGTATACATGTCTTAGATCATAGCCCAGTACAAGTATTCGAAGTCTGATATCTTGTGGACAGGTGCCTGTCTGGTATATTTTTTTAAAAAAAGGGAATTTGGCCATCCCTTCGAACTATGGATTGGCTCTTGCTGGAAGTTGAAGTTAATGTTGAACTCAGAGGTCATTTCGGGGGGGAACGCGGGGGAACGCACATGACGAAACCCCGCCCCCTGCTTCCGGCCACCCCACTTCCGGCCCTCATTCAGCCAGGAGGAGGCAGGAGAAGAGGGAGGGTATGTTGCTTCCTCCCTGCCTCTCCCTACCCCGGCCTGCCTGGGGCCAGGGAGGGCCTTCGTGGGGCTTCCTTGCACTCCCGCCGGCCTTGCAGGTCCACCGCCGGGCCCCTCATGGGGCTCGGCAGTGGAGCTGAACTCAGATATATCTTCTCTAGCTGAAATCTGTTGTTCGTTGTCCTGTGCTCAGCGGAATGGGGCAAGCGTTGTTCTCTCATTTTTCTGTATTTACATTTCTAAGCAAACCTCGTTGTGTTCCTCTGTCTGCTTATATGACAGTGGAAGGTTTGTATATATGATATCACTTTGGAAGAACAGAGTGTTAGAGTGTGAATGGAAACGGCCAGTGATAATCCCAGAAGAAGAACAACCCTTGAACCATTTCATGGTGTCACGTGACTCCGGTTTGCACAGTTTTGTGCAGGTTAGAGGTGTCGTTGGTGGTTCTGGCTTTATTAGACTGCAACTCTGTACTACTGCAAATTTTTACTTCAGTGTTGATTTATTTATTTATTAAAACCCATTCCTCGGGTGTCTTTCCACCTAACTACAATCCCCGAGGCAACAAACATCAAACGCAAAATCATATCAATATTAAAACAATAAAGACATTTTAAAAAGCATTTAAATATAAGCAGGGGTCATCTTGTAGAAAAAGAGGTGCAGGAGCTCCTTAGCATAACTCATTAGCATAACTTATTTGCATATGCCACACACCCTGACATCACCGGAAGTGCATCAGAAGGAAACGCCCACCGCTCAGGCTCCACTGGACTGTTTTGGTTTGCTAGCTATTGGGGGGGGGGGGGAAGGGGCGAATCTTGGAGGGCGAGCTTGTACCTGAATAAAACTTGGTCTTAAAGGTGCCACTGGACTGTTTTGGACCGGGAGGGCGGGGTGTGTGTGTCTGCAACTTACCTGGCTTCTTCTTCCTCTGACTGAGGGCTGCTGGGAGTTGGGGGTGGGGCTGGTTGCATGTGCCCACCCCCTGAGCTCTTTACTGCCGGAGCTTTGCTCCTGTGCGCTCCTGCAGGAAATGACCCCTGAATATAAGTCTAGCTAACATAAATAATCGTCTGTAGTGTGGAACTGTCAGGAAATCAAAACAGGCTGGAAGGGTTTGCGGTAATATTAAACCTAAATATAAAGGTGAGCACACTAGATTGAATGCTATTCCGTCAGGGGAGCTATTAGGACGTTTTAAATAAGGTGACTTATTCTGGGAAACTCTGTCAGTGAGGTTCTGGCCAAATAGACAGTCTTCAGCGCTGTCTATTCGACTGTGATTTGCTTAACAAGACAAGAAATAGTTGGATAAAACCCTATATCCAGGACTCTAGGTGTGAACTGGATAATTTGAGGTTTCTTTTAGCAGAGGGTGGATTTTAATATTACATTGGCAGTTGCCAAGTTCTTTTCTCAGTCGGTGAAGATTAAAAATAATTAACTTTTAAATATGACATAGATACATGTATTAAATAAATTTTCTCCCTTTTTCTAAGTCTTAGTGTGACACAGTTCAGAGCCAAATTGGCTGTGAGAGCAGTACAAGAACATAAGAACATAAGAGACGCCAATGTTGGATCAGGCCAAAGGCCCATCTAGTCCAACACTCTGTAACACACAGTGGCCAAAAACACCAGGTGCCATCAGGAGGTCCACCAGTGGGGCCAGGACATTAGAAGCCCTCCCACTGTTGACCCCCCGCAAGCACCAAGAAGACAGAGCATCACTTGCCCCAGAGCCCCTATCTATACCTTGTGGCTAATAGCCACTGATGGACCTCTGCTCCATTTATCTAATTCCCTTTTGAAGCCGTCCATGCTTGTAGCCGCCACCACTTCCTGTGGCAGTGAATTCCATGTGTTAATCATTCTTTGGGTGAAGAAGTACTTCCGTTTATCCGTTCTAACCCGACCGCTCAGCAATTTCATGGAGTGCCCACGAGTTCTTGTATTGTGAGAAAGGAAAAAAGTACCTCTTTCTCTACCTGTTCTTTCCCATGCATAATCTTGTAAACCTCAATCATGTCACCCCTCAGTCGTCTTTTCTTCAAGCTAAAGAGCCCTAAGTGCTTTAACCTTTCCTCATAGGGAAAGTGTTCCAACCCTTTTATCATTCGAGTTGCCCTTTTCTGCACTTTTTCCAAAGCTATAATATCCTTTTTAAGGTGTGGTGACCAGAACTGCACACAGTATTCCAAATGAGGTTGCACCATTGATTTATATAGGGCATGATGATATTGGCTGATCTGTTTTCAATACCCTTCCTAATAACCCCCAGCATAGCATTGGCCTTCTTTATTGCAGTCACACACTGTCTCGACATTTTCAGTGAGTTATCTACTACGACTCCCAAGATCTCTCTCTTGATCAGTCTCTGCCAGTTCAGACCCCATCAATGTGTATTTATATTTAGGATTTTTGGCTCCAATGTATCATTAAAGTAAACATAAGTCTATATAAAATATTTAAACGATTCGAAAAAATGTAAAAGTGTGCATAATTATGCAACCAGGAAGGAGGGACAATAACAGTTAGTGGAGGGAACGCCAGAAAAAACAGTAGAGTCTTCCCCTCCCCCTTGAAGATGATCACAGATAGAGGGAGACACACAAATCTTCCAGGGGAGGGAGTTCCAAAGTTTTGGTCCCACAACCGAGAAAGCCCTGTCTCGGGTTGTCACCCATCTAGTCTCATATGGCAGGGGCACCAAAGGCTGGGCCTCCAAACATGACCAAAGTGGACAGGTAGGCTCATATGGCAGTCCTTAATCCAGGGGTGTCGAACTCATTTGTTATGAGGACCGGATCTGACATAAATGAGACCTCGTTGAGCCGGGCCGTGTGGGTCATAAAATGTAATGCCAGGTACCGGAGATATAAACTTTATAAAGGACACAAACACAAAGATTTTTTTTACTTAAAATAAAGACATTAGCTCTGTAAGCTGCAAACCTACTTTTGATTTATTGACATTCACCACAGAAATCTCACGCTCAGAGTTATGTGTCTAGGAACCAGGTTAAAACATGAAATGGCTGAGCGATTACGAGAGTCTGGTGAAGCAAGCTAGGATGCAGCAGCAGCAGAACTGGAAGCAGGAGATGGCCAATGCCACTGCGGGCCTGATGGAAGCCCTTGGGGGCCTGATCTGGCCCCCGGGCCACATGTTTGACATCCCTGCCTAAATCTATATCATTGATGGGTATAGTCATCACTGGATGACTGTACCTTGTGACTGGCAAGGGTCAAACAGTCCACACCTTCAATAGCCAGCCATGTGTACAGACATCAAGGTGTGGAGATATCAAATTACGTTCATCGTGTCCACATTCAGACCAGCTTATTTGTTTTTCTAAGGTGTCTAGTGACATACAGGTCACTTGTTCTCTGTCACCTGCTTCAAGGAACCTTGGTCTGTGTGCCCTTGTTATCTTCCCCTATTCCATAGAATCATAGAGCTAAAAGGGATGTTGCAGGTCATCTAATTCCACCTGGTCCCCTGAATTGTAAATGCTAACTCTTCGATGAAAACAGATGCAGCGTTCTTGGAGTCTCACACTGTGATCCAAGGTGTATGGCTTTGTTCGCTCAAGTGCGATGCTTATCTGGGAAGCATCGCCGTTAGTAATCTGAGCAGGGTGTTAACCTTCTCGCAACCAGTGAGGCTGCACAAAGTAGACACCACAGTGTGTGTTGACTGACTCTCTGGTGACTTAGCAAAATATTGGTAGAACCTAGGGATGCCAGCCTCCAGGTGGGACCTGGGGATCCCCCAGAATTACAGCTCATCCCCAGACTTACAGAGATCAGTTCCCCTGGAGAAAATGGATGCTTTGCAGGCTGGACTCCATTAGCATGGTACCCCACTGAGGTCCCTGTCCTCTCCAGGTTCCATCCCCAAATCTCCAGGAGTTTCCCAAAATGGATCTGGCAACCTGCTCCCCCATCCCCTGCCATTGGCCAGGGGGACCTGGCAAACCTAGTGGAACGAATGCTCTGACCTTAAATGACAAAGATGCACCCAGGCTGAGTGTTTTTAGTGGCATTTATGGACCTTCCCAGAACGTTTCCTCCATTAACATGAGTTCTATTTGTTAGTCTGGTGCTGAAAGAGCCACAATGTCCTATGTATATGCAATGGCTCAGTCGCCTGTTTTATTGTCTGGCTTGTTTGAGGAGGGCAGAGGTGTTTGCTGCAGAACGAGAAAGAGAATCCACGTCATACCTTTTCTCTCCATCAAGTCACAAC